ACACCACGATGTGTAACATCATGAATAGTTTTGTACTGTACATTTTCTCCCATTCTCCTGTTTTTTCATGTGAATCTTCCAGATTAAAAAAAAAAAAAAAAAAAAAAAAAAAAAAAAAAAAAAAAAAAAAAAAAAAAAAAAAAAAAAAAAAAAAAAAAAAAAAAAAAAAAAAAAAAAAAAACACAAACCAAAACGTTGCTGGAACATTCATCAAAAAATACTTTACACAAGCACTGAGATACAGCATCACAGATTTTTGACAAAATTCAGTGGTGCTATTCAATAGCAAACTAAACCTCCACTAGGAAGACAAAACACTGATGCTTAAATAGTCCAGGTCTAAAACCCTTGCAGGTTTACTTATTTAGAATTCTATAAATATGTATATTCACCCACAAATGCACGAAGAGATTTATATAAGAAAGGAGGCATATCCAAGGCAATGGGCACTCCTGTCATAAATTATAAAATAAAGTCAATTAGAGTACAAAATTCCCTCCCCCTCCTCACACCAAATCCAATTATTCCCATAGGCCTGGGTCTGCAGCAGTCTGCACACATAATGTAAGACACAGTGCGAATCACCCCATCTTTCAAGGTCATTTCTAGAAAACAATCCAGGTGGTAGCATGAAACCAGTTGTTGGAATTGAGGCATAAAGAGGTTCCTCTTCAGGATTTCCAGGTCTACCAAACACTCGGGGTGAGATTTTGAAAAACGCCTAAGAGACATGAGCACATAAATCCCAGGAGCAATGGGTAAAATTTAAGGCTATAAGGGTTATAAGTTATACTAGGAATGCTCACATTTCCACATTCACTGTAAAAACGGGTGTTTCACTGCCACTTCGCTAGAGAAACTAGAGGAATATTGCTTCATCAGGCCTCTTTGAGGCTCAATCACACTGTAAAATGGGTAAGTATGTCTCAGGTCTCCTTGTGAGTTCCCCATATGTCTACTTTCATAGATATAGCTACTTACAGAGATAGCAGTGAAAACACAGGTGAAGAAATGGTTAGGGAAAAAAAAATAAAATAAAAAGGCTAACCTTTATATTCTGCCACAGAAAAATCTCTCACAACCAATCCTTCACCTCCGAAACAATTTTTTTGGGGTTTTGGCGTTTTCACAATACCAGCTTAGAAGAAAGACAGTATAACTGGTTTGCTCACCATTTGTTACATTACTTATATTTATGTCCTGTTGTGAAAAGGAGAGGTCTGGCACCAAAGTGAAAGACTCATTTTGTCTTTCTCCAGGCTGCTGAGTTAAAGGGTAGAGCCCTATGGACAGGGTGGAAAATTGCATGAGCTTCCCACGAAGGAAGCAGAGCAGGGTCCCACCACGTGGAGACACAGCAAAGCCCAATAAGACCTTATGCAGCAAAGTCTGCACGTGCTGCACTTGCTGTTGTTTCTTTGTCTCCTCCTGGCTATGAAAGAACTGATAGGTGGACATTTCTCAATCCATTTCTGGAAGGAAAATATCTGTCCTGTACTTGCAATGAATTAAGAACCAAAAAGGAGTGGTTTCTTTCCCTCTGGACCCTGCGCATTCTAAAATGCCACCTGACAAATAATTTCCTTTGTCCTCCTACAATGACAGTTGGTGTGGTGGTTTTCCCATTTATAACCAAATACTATACAACAATACCTAACTACAGAACCTGGGTAAGAAGCTTGTCCAAATTTCCCTTTGCTTCCTCCTGCCTCTATGTGGCTGAAATAACAGACTTCACTTTAAAACGAGGACAAGGTAATTTGCCTTTTGCTTTAAAACTGCCCTCTTACCATGGTGAAAGTGTGTCCAAAATCTGACACATGTACTGCAAGGCTCATCTTTGTCATGACTTTTAGAAATGGAGATTTAAAGCCAGGTAGCAATAAACTTACTACAGATCTTTAAAAACAAAATTTGAAGTCGGAGTGTTGCTGACCCAGTGTTATCGTATGTGATATGAAACATCAGATATTTAAGTCCGAATAAAAACACAAAATGGGTAATAGTCCTTTCCTCATTCTCATCTGCCTCTGGTCTTTATCCCTTACTCAGCTGGATTCATCTCTGTTCTTCCATAATTCAGGTGGCAAAGTTTTCTTCTGATCTGAAACCACAAATGCTTGTCCCAACCATTAAAAAAGAACAAATAAACAAACAAAAAAACCCAGCTTTGCAACTAGAAATTGCTGGAATCACAAAATGTTTTTAAATGTGATCAAATCCACAATTGCATACATCATTCTTTAGGGCTACAGGTTATAGGATCACTCTATTTTCCAAGAAATTGTTTAATCTTTTTGTTGTACACAGAATCTGCTCACTTTCTTCAGCTATCACATTTAAGATATGATTGGTGCAAAATATTTGCATCACATGTTAAAACTGGAAGAACTCACAGGACAAAAATCACAACACAATTAAAGACATATCTCTGTATGATGAGAAAGAATTTCTGAAAGCACAGCCTATCTGCTTCCTTTCACAACTACTCCTTTCCAGACATATGCCATGGTAGACAGGATTTTTCATTCAATGGACTGGTCATGCAGAGTCTCTTTCATGACTAGGAGAATACTATCTTCATTCCAACTCATTTCCCAAGAAGAGATGGGAAATGAAGCAGTAAAGCCAGGAAAAGCGTGTATGCAGGTGACCAAACCACACCAGTAAGGCTAGACAAAACAATCTGTAGTTTAGGGCTTTTCATCCGCTACTCCGCTTCCTTCCAGCTCCTCAAGACAGAGAAATAAACCAGATCAAAGGTTCTATCAACTGCTTCAAAGACCTTCTGCTCTTATTTGCGAGTCCCATCTTTCACATTCCTGTGTGTCCTGACTTGAGTGCTAAGACAAAACAGGGGCATCAACAGTGACACCCTTTCACACAATGGGAACACACCTACCAACTGCAAACACAGCATGTCAGCAGCCCAACACAGCACAGATCCATCCCCATCAAGTGGTGGAATGGCTCTGGTCCTGTCAAGTGGTAGATGAATCTCTGGGCATGACAGAAGAATTCCAACTTTTCTATAGCCTGGAGCACCACTTTAAAAGGCTGTGAGAAACACCATGGCTAAAAAGTACCACTGGCTGAAACAAGTCCAGCATGCTTGACAGGGTGTGTGAAATGCAGACTACGCCATGGATGGATAGAACAGGGTACACCAGGTTTCCTGATTGTTAATGTGGTACCTGCAGATTCTGATGGATATGACTAATCATTCCCCCCTCCACAAAGAAACACAACACTGACTGAAGTCTGCCAGACATCAGTAACCCTAACTTCATGAGACAGCAGGTTTGCTGTTCAAGCATTTGGTAGAATCCAAGCTGTACATCCTCAGCTTTTACACCTGCGGAAGCCATGCTGGATCAAGATTTTTCCAACACAGTAACAAAGCTAAACTGGATAAACAGACCGCTGCTATTTTATTATACTAGTTTCTGATAAAGTTCCACCTGATGAGTTAAATTTCTTGAGCCATCATACCGAGACAGCACAGATTCAAACCAGCATCAACTGAAAGTAAGAGCCAACTCTCACCCTAGAAAGTTGCCACAGCAAAACTCAGAGCTATATTAAAAATGTAAGTTGATGCTCAGCTTAAATTTCTTCCAGACATCATAAAAGGTGTCTTGAAACTGAAACGGGGCTAACAGTGAAGTTGTCATTGAACAACTGGATTCACTGATAGCCTGTATTTAAATGACAGAATCCTCTACTTCTCACATGTTTTCACCATGCCCACACCCCCCCTTTTGCGAATACTTTGCATGTGAAGAAAAAAAGTGGGCTATTCATATAATCAATAATGCCATGTCATGCATGGAGCTTCTGCATAAATCCAGAGCAAAAGATGTCAAGCATGTCCCACTCCAGTGACTATTGGGCAACGAAGTAAAAAGATGCACTTTTCATCTCCACAGGACTGTCGCCAAACCCTTGATGTAATAAATGAAACATGCCTGCTATTTCACCATTGCAAAATGGTACTGTAGATATCTCACAACATCTCTGTTTGCAGGAGGGGGTAACTAGCTCTAGATGAAGTGCAGATATGTTATTAAACAACGCACAGCTTGAATCCTGGGGCCAACACAGATGACCTTTAGAACATAAGCACTGTCTAAGACAAATATGCTTTCATCTTTGGGGAGTATTTTTTCAAGTAGAGATTTAAGAGAGAAACAGTTTAGAAATACGTTAAGCACAAATGTGCCTTCAATCTCTTAATGCTTCATTTTGAAAACAAAACCACAAGTAGTATCACATGTCAGAAGAAAGACTAAGTACTCTTTAAGCAGAATATTAGTGAATTTAGTGAGATTTGGTTTTATTTTCATTTAGCCCAATAATTAAAGCACAGAGAAAGGATAAATAATGTAACTGAGATCCAAAATTGGAGGTATGACCAAAGTGATTCAGAAAAAAGGCTTGTATTTTTATTACAAATAATACAAGTTTATTACAAAAAAAAAGGTCATTACTTCACTTTAGAATCCCTTAAGTGGGATGAAAATACAAAAACATAGCAAAACCACGCAGAGGCATGTAAAACATAAGGAGAATGGTTTTAGAGAGGGATTAAGTCAAATAGCAAATGATACAAAAAGAAAAAGAAGTAATTTCTCATTTTGCACTTCACAGGCTGTTACCATCTATCTTCAGTAAAGTCAGGGTTTTTTCAGCTCTATCTTGACTGTGATGCTAAGCAGCTTTAACACACACAGTGATATTTGCTAAATGGAACAGAACAGCAATGGTATGATAAAAGTATTTCCCCTACAAACTAGAGTGTGCAGAATTTAACAAGTTCTGAGCTGCTCTGCTCAGCCTGTTTTTCCATCAAAGTTGGCGGCAAACTTACCAAAGCAAAGCACTTCTCAGAATGGGACCTCCTGTGCCTGAACAGCCCATATCACACACACTGCAATGCTCAAACCCAGTGGGCCTGTTATGTTTTTGTGGGTTTTTTTAAAAAGAATTTCGTTTCTTACCTCAAATTCAGCATGGCGGTTGATATCCTCTGCTCTCTGTCGGCTCAAGATAAATTCTGCTTCATTAGCCACTCTTACCAAATGGTCCTTCATGGTTTGACTCAGCAGCCTGAGGACAGAGAATATTTAAGAACTGCCCTGAGAGAATGAAGTGCAAAAATCAAAATCTTTAAAACAGGATATAGACAAATATTTTGATCTCTCCTAACTGACTTTACTGTGTTAAGAAAATGGTATAAATAACGTGAATAAGGTTGAGGGGTAATACTCTGGCAACTAGTAAAGCTGTATTTCGATAGTAAACCAAAGTAAGTATTAAACAAAACGTAAACACTCTAGAAAGCCATTTGTTTTACCTGAAATAGAGATATGTAAGAAAATCTTTCACATACACACACACCACAATATAAAGAAGAGTAAGCAGCTTATGCATTTAAACATCCACAGTTAAAGCTCTAATATAACTGATGTAAAGTTAAATATAAAATTGTGAATTGCAATGCCATATAGCTTTTTCTCCAAATGTAAAATTGAAATTTTATGCTAATTATACATTTAAGTAATATTTTTAGGATTATAAAACATTCTCAATCTCACAAATGAAATGCTAAGATACACATTGTTCCAGGTTATGTACAGAAAAAAGCTGTAATTCAATCTGAGATTTCTGAGGCCTTCCTAAACCCTGAGTTTATGAATGGCATCAGAGCAGACAGATTGAATTACAACCCAATTATTCTGTGAATTCATGTATTACTAAAAACATTTCCTTTTTAATTAGTTACACTGGGATTCATAGTTAAAACTGTCTATACAGGAGCAACACTGTTTTTAGGAGGTGCACATTTCCATAGGATCACTCAAAAGATGTAGCAGATAAATCCATTACATGTTCTACTAATTAGTTCTCACATACATCTCTTACTAAAACTTTTTGTCTTAAGGTTTTCAATTACATAAAAAGAATAGCAGAACATAAGATCATCTGTTTGCCTTGCACACACGAGGTAAAGTACATTTCAACAAGTTCAGAGTCTAATGAGAGCCCGTCTTTATAAGATTTATTATGCAGGATGCCTTCTAATGCAGACAATGTTAGTTCTATTCCCAATAACTAATTTATCTGAAACAAGGCTCTACCTGTCTCTGACTGTATATTTGAAAGTATGATCATCAATGCTCAGCTCTCTCTTTTCCAATGCCATTCAGAATTCCACACTTGCAGCAGACTTGCAGGTCACAACCTACTCCCATGAGAAGAAATCCAGAGGCAGAACAACACATTTGTTCACTGTCTCTCTCATTACAAGGCTTGGAAAACTGCAGCACAACAGCCTCGTGAGGCTATGAGCTCATGAACCAGCCAAACTGGTGGATTACTGTCTCCCCATGGATGAACTTTTGAAAAAAGAAATATGCAATAACTCACTATTTGGAGCACAACTTCACCTTCTGTTCGGGGAGGCTTGTACAAGAGAAGTCTCTATTTTAAAACCGTATCATAATTATTTTATTTTTTTCTATTTTAATAACTTTTTAGAATGGAAATAGCTGTTGATCAACAAAGATGCAATTCTGCCAATTTATCTGCGTGCATGAGTGACAAACTTTACTTTCATAGACTTGCAGAACCAGCATTGCTGCAATAATGTAAATTCAATATCATAACTTCTCATGACATAAAAAACTTGGGAAAATAAACTAGGTAAGAAGGCACTGTTCATACACTGATAAAAAGAAACCCCAAACCTCTGTCTCTACTATTTACAATGATGTTCAGTTAAAATAGAGGTGTACTAAAAAAACAGCAACAAGAAATTCTGCATGACCAATTTCATAGTCTGAGCAGATTCCAGGCACTTGACTCTTTCTCCAGGATCCCCGGTAGCACAATTAGATCTCACACAGCAGCTTTTAAATAAACATGTACTTATTAAAGTAAGAACCAACTAAAAAATGCATGGGGACCATAAATACTCCTGTATTACCATTTACATGTAACACAGTTGGACAATATTCCATTTTTTTCACTGAGTTTGTCAATACCAACATCTTCTGCTAACCTGATCAGACTTTGAAAAATACTAGTCATCCTCTAAAGGGTGTCTACTTTTAATCTAACAATCATTATCCTCTGTAAGTCCCACTTTTTTTTCCCCATCTGCTCAAGAAGCACCCTATATAATAATTGTTTTAACACTTTACTGCATGGATTTTCCTTTTTATCTACTAAATGTAACCAGTGTTGGCCCAGCACCTTAGTGACTGTATAATGGCACTAGCTGTGCATTTGCAGAGATGATGGACATGCTCCAAAGCACAGAACTACATTCCCTCACACAGGAACAGCGTTCTCAAAACAGACTAGGAGCGTATCTGGTGAAAACAAAGAGCTTCTAAGTATCAGAAAGAGCTTTGCCTCTTATGGATCAGTTGTCACTTCTTTCATTCCCACCTCTCCCTGCTAATCCCTGCTAATGCTTTCCTCATTTTCTCTATGATATTCCATACAAAAATAGGTCAGCTAGATAAAACTGAGACATGATTTTGCAGATAAATCCTAGCTGAACTTTTCCTTCTGGCAACCAAGAATTCTTACAGCTTACAACTAAGGAATTGTTGGAGCTTAGCATAAATAACTACTTCAGAGAAAGGTAAATGATTCATATTACTATACTATTACTTCTGTCCTCATCAGTTCCCAAATGCAGGAATGAAAGGTTGTCATGAGACAATGATAAAAATTATTTACTCACATAATTGAAGTCTATATGAAATATCATCCTGGTTTATACCATACGCCATTATTTACTGTGTTCATTATTTACTTTCAAGAACTTTAAATTTTAATCTTCTTTTTTCAGTCACCTTGTCCAAACACTGCATATGCTTAGATTAACTTTCTTACAACAAACAATTCAAGTTGTATCATCACCTAGGGCAGTTTGGATTTTATTTATGAAAACAGTATCCACATACACTGCATACCACTCAGATTTCTATTTCGAAATCACCCCTAAGTGTGGGACTTTGCAAACTAAATATGTATCTATATATAAATGTAATGATGGCACAATATAAGAGAGGAGTCTATAGCCATCATTAAAAATCAAAGGCCAATATTGAGCTCACAGCACCTGAATAAATGAACACATATATATATGTCTAAAATGAAGTTTTAATCACCTGCTAAACACTAATTTTGGGAACCTTGGCAGCTGCTACTTTCATGGAAAAGGCAAACAAAATGTTGAACAGAAAGTTCTCTGCTTTCAATAGAAACAACTGTTCGTAGCCAAGCAGACCAATGCTGAAGCAACAACTCCAAACTACATACAACACATTTTGTACATATGGGAGAGGCTATAAACTGTATTACCTAGATCAGGTGATTTTCAGTGACAAATGCTTTCTTCTTAAGAAAAAGTTTAGAAACATCTGATTTTCCTAAGACAATAAGTGCACTTCATGTTTTAAAGGATCATAATGGTCCTTTCTGGTTCCTGCTCTGGCCTCCTGCACAGATCATTAATGTCTTCCTCAAAATAGTTTAATTTCCTCCATCAAGTCTGTACTTTCTGTTTGAGCTACAGCATACCTTTCACTTTTTCTGCACTTTAAATAAAAAAAATTTTTTTTTTTACAGCATACCTTTACTTTTTTTTTTTTTTTTTTTTTAAAGGTTTGAAGATCATAGAATCATGGAATGATTTGGGTTGGAACAAACCTTATTAAAAGATCACCCAATTCCAACTCCCTGGTGTGGGCAAGGACAATTTCCACTGGATCAGGTTGCTCAGACCCCCATCCAACCTGGGCTTGGACATTTCTACGGATGGGGCATCCACAACTTTTCTGGGCAACTCACTCCAGAAAAAAGATACTTTACAGCATATTCTCCCATAAAGAAGTTCTATAATAAGGTAATTTGTGTCAATTAAAATAACAAAACAGATAAACCAAAAATCCTCAATCATAAATATTTCTTGTCCTCTTTTATACTGACGTTTTTCCCCGCAACTCAATCACATTAGTTTTTCTTCTGTCAAATAAAAATTCTACCTAAAACATCTTCAAATACCTTTTTTCTACAGCAAAAGGACATCTTTTCCTTTCACTGAGTAAACAGGCAGATTAATTGAATTTCTTCTCTCTTTCAAAGTATGCACACCCAAGCTGAAACAAAACCTCGAAGTCTAATAATTTCCTTCTTCCTTTATAATCTCTCCATAGAGACCCATGGACCATCCTTCCCTTATAAAACTATCTCACATATCTGCGCTTTTTTCAGTTATTAAACACGAAAATACTGCTGAAAGTGGCGATTTACACTCCACTTTCCCTGACAGATTCCCTTCTTGTTTGTTTTTATTAATGACACTATTGAGTTAGGATGGTTTTTTCTTAACATGAAAAGACTGTGGATGGACATGTTTTGTAGAAATTAGACATGAAATAGCCACGATTTTAAAGACTCTGGATAACAAGTCTACTCGTCTGCTTTCAGTGCACACCAGATTCCACGTCTCAGACAGACTTTTATTCCTTTGTCTAAGCACTTTCTTTGCAGACTAAAATATTTAAAAACATGTGATTAACTTTGAAAAGATGAGCCTAGTAAAAACAAGCAAGGGAACGAATTCCATGCTGGAAATTAAATATATACTTGCATACTTTGCTGGGTCAGGAATGAAGTGCTAAACCACTGAGAAAAGGAGTCCCAGACAAATACATGAGACAGACTGATTTTCATTGTTATGCTGGAAGAGAAAACCATGAGATTCAGAGGTAGAACTCTTTCTCTGATTTCTAGCTCCTGAATGATGATCAAGTAAAAAGTCAAGCTTCTCCTTACATCAGGTAAAAAGGAGGAGGTACAAGAGGGGAAAAATGGAACAGAAAAACACATGCAAGCAAAAGCAAGCGAGAGGTTGAGAAATTCTGGGTTAGCATTACTGATGTCCAACAATTATCAATTTTAGTCAAAGTATGAAAAAAGTTTTACAGTAGGTGACATTTACAACCACTATTTAGGCATGAATCTATCATGAAGTACTACAGGGAGAGATTGTGTATGTTCCAAACACTGCCATAGCAAACCCTGAGACA